AACCTATTTGTGATTGTAACTGAGGCAGGACAGAGGACTGCCATGGGCACGTGTAGTGGAGTTGTCATGGCTCCTAGCCCCCAGGAGTGGGATTATCCGCTCAGCCCAAAGACATGACAGCGCGCCAGGGGATGTTTGGCACTGCTGGAGGCGTTGTCTGAAGCAGGGCTGGGGAGGGGAAAACCCAGCGTGTTTCTCTTTCTGCATGTGATTCGCACAGAAAACTCAGGCTGCCCTGTGTCTCCTCGGGGCTTTCTGCCTGCCGGAGCTGCTCGGACGCTCTTCTTCTTGGAAATCACAGCTCCTGGGGGAAGCAAGCAGGACCCCAGTGCTGCTGGGCTGAGGCTGGGGGGCTGCATCTAGCTGCTTGGAAGGGTCTTGGGGAGTCCTTGAGGGAGCAGAGGGAGAGTGGCAGGGGCTCTATAAGGGAGCTGTGGGTGGCACTGAGGTGAGCTGCCTGTGGAGGGCTGCCAGGGGCTGCCTGTATGCACAAGGGGCAGGGTGGGAGCTCAGGGCACTTTGATTTATGGGGAAGCAGGGATTCTCAGTGGGTGTAGGGGTGTTTCTCAGTGTATAAGGGTATATCAAGTGTAGGGGCATGAGTATGTGTCCAGGGGTGTCTCAGTAGGTATAAGGGATCTCAGGGCGAGGGGAGGTCCCTGCTCCCCTGCCAAGGGGTCTCTCCCTGACCTGTAGAGTCCCTCTTATTTTGGGGGAGCAGGTCCAGCAGCAGGGCCCATCCCCAGTGAGAGTGGACCATGGTGCTGCTGTCTGGGGAAAAGCTGAAGGGGGAACAGCAGCAACAGGTCTGTCCCAGCTCAGACAGGGAGAGGGAACCGCAGAGCCCAGGGCAGGAGAGGCTGGCAGCTGAGGGGGAGGAGGAGGATGGCGATGATGAAGGGGAAGAAGACGAGAATGCTGAGGATGAGGGTGAGGAGGACTATGAGGAGTATGAAGACTTCTCGGAGCTGCCTGACACTCGCAGCATCGCCTCGGATGACTCCTTCTACCCGCCAGGCGGTGATGACGATGAGGGTGAGACTTGGTCACTGGGTGAATCTGAGTCCGAGAGTCCCGAGCCGCTGACCCTCTTCCGTGCCTGCTGCACCAATAATGCTGTCCTGCTCAAGGCACTGATCCGCCAGGGCCCCGAGGAGGAGGAGGTGTGCGAGGCCGACCGCAACCGCCGGGTGAGACACTGGCCCGTGGGCCTCATATCCCACACCCCTACCTCCAGAGACCCCCAGCCTCCCCCATGCCAGAGCCTCATAGGGCACACCCCAGATCCATGCATAGAGACATCCTTCCCTAGATGTCCCCCTAGCATCTCCTGCCCCAATACTCTCCCTGCGCCCATAACACAAGGTCAGCACCCATCACTGCAGCATCCTGGTGCCCTTTTGTGCCTGCACTCTGCCTAATCCCCCATGCTCAACCCTGCCATGACCTAGGTTTTACCAGGCAGCCTTGTGCATGCTGCAGACATGCAGTCTCTAGTCCACACACCACAAACACACACTCAATACTTCTGATCCATTGCCACTGCATCACCTTAAAACCATAGGTGACTGGTAGGGGGTGCACGGGGGTGCATGTGCCCCCCCCCCCGGCAGGTGACACCAACGCTGTCAGCAGGGCTGGTGTCCACCCTGACAGGGCCGTCACCATCGGCAGCTTCTGTGGGTGCTCCCCAGATTCAGGAGCACCAGTCACTCATGCTTAAAAAATTCCCATCCCCTGGGGTGGGTAGAGTCAATTCAGGCCTCTAACCTAACCTCAAGGCACATCATTGCTATGCTTTCCCTTGGTGTGGGAGGAACAGGAGGCCCCTTCCTTTACTACAGTTGAAAACTGTGAAATAGAACCCCCTTTTGCCTCTTCCCACAGCAGCACATGCCCTTCGAGGGTTGAAGTGAGGGACACCCACTACGTCAGAGGAACAAGGGTGGGAGCCATGGGGCCTCTCCAAACATTTCCTGCAGTTTGCTTCCTACACCCTTCAGGTGCAATGCAGCACCCTAAGTTCATCCATTTGCTTTTTGCCCTCCTGAATCCATTCTTATCTTATCCAATGCATCCACATGCTTGCACCCTCCTGCACTTTCCCCAGCCCCTGACACTGTTGTCAGACTCAGCTTTCGGACTCCCCAGGCACATACATCCCATGTGACACTTGCTCACTCACAGAATACACATGTGAATATGACGGGAGCAGAAAATAAAAGTGTGATGGTTTTGTTTCAATGCCAAGGCTTTTAGGGAGAAACATGACCCACATCTCAGGTGGAGAAGGAGTTCAGGCAAAGCAGCATAATTATGTGCTTAGGAATAGGAGACAATAGCACTGACTACTGTTTGGCCTAACTGTTGATGACTCTGACAACAGGGCTCCAATTATTGGGATACATTTGCTGTTTCTTTAACATTTGGGAATTTACTTGATGTTTCAATCTTAATTTAAATTGAATGCTTATTCATGTGTATTATTAGAAGGGATGGCATTTTACTATTAACCATTCTGCCTTGCAGAAACAAGCCAAGTGCTTTGCTAATTCTCACATTTCCCCCAGAATACTTTACAGTTCTTGGAACTTTAACAGTTGATCAAAGTTAATAATTTTCTCCTTTTCTGTCTCTTTTATCATTGATCCTCACTAAAAATATAAGGACTCACTTAGCTTTCAGAATGCTAAACAGGATTTGATTAATTCCTACACTAAGAGCTATTTTTTCTAATTATATGTATTTTCTGGTTTCTGTATCTGTGCAATATCTTTTTATTAGTTTGGCACTTTGCTGTTTAATTCATTGGAGGAACAGAGATTTATTTTACTGAAGCAGCAGAGGAGGACTAGTGAAAGATTTTCTGGGTAACACAACAGGCATGTATGTGCAGAGTGCAGCTGAGCAGCTATAGAGTTGCAACAGTGACTTCAGATGTTTAGGATTATGACATAGTTAATATTAATTAAAAGCCCAATTTGACTATCTCCAGATACCATCCCACTCTCTCCCTCCAAAAATCTTTCACCCTGAAATTTTCCATGCCTTCTTTACAGAGGATAATATTGGAATACAGCCTGAGTTAAAATCTGTCAAGTGATATTTAAATTGTGATAAAATCTGTGGCCTTTCCCTTTTTAATCTACTCTGACTTGAAGACTTAAAAATATTTCTGTTTCTTTATCCCAATTTAAAACTAGCACAGAGGCCTAGTTTTAGTTCTTTTGGAATTCATAAACCTTTATTCTCATAGGATTTTTTCTCACAACAGTCACTGTAATCTCTCTTGAAAGCCTGTAGGTATTATAATCTCTTGAGCTCTGATATAGGTTCTGTAAACTCCATGAACTCTACTGTGGGAGGAAGAAGCTCTTGCATATGGAAAGGGGTTTAACACAGGGAAACTCTGAGCATCAGAAAGAAAAGGGAAGATCTGATTCAGGGCACAAGAAATGGATTTCAGGCATGTCAAAGAAAAGCAAAGAAAGAGATGGGCTCCATTCCCAAAACTGTTGGAGGAAAAGATTAGAGCAGTCTCCCAGAATGTGATAGACTTGGGTTCATTTTCCTCCCCTGTCTGAAGGGCTCGGATCCTGCATCTCACACAGGAGTGACCTAACTGGCTAGCTCTAGGATGTTTTGGGGTGGGCAGGTTCTCTCAGTCCTTCCTTTTGGAGCTGTTTCAGTTTGTACTGTACTTAAATAGTCACTGAAACAAAGAGCAAATGAGGATGACTATGCAGTGTAAAAGTTAGGGTACTTAACTGGGAGGTGGGACATGGAATTTTGTCCCGGCTGCAGCAAGTGTTATACAAAGCAAATTATGGTGTACCAAGAAAAATATTGTCAACAAGAAAGATTTGAGTGCCCGTGCCACCTCTGAGTACCCTGTAATTTAGAGGCTAGCACGCTCTCTAGAGAGCTGGGAAATATGGGTACAAATCACTTCAGGAATAGGAAGAAACTGAACCCTGGCTTTCCATAGCATTGGTGAGTGCTCTCACCACTGGGATACAGGTTAGAAAGGGATGACACTTCTTCTTTCTTCTCTGGGTTTCCAAATCTAATCTTGAAATTTATTTTCCAACCAATATTAAAAAGCAAAATTTAGGTCAAGTTCACAAATAGTCTGGGGATAACTGAAACCATATTTTTCAGTTAATTTTCTATTTACCAAAAATAGTTTGCCCAGCTATATTTATAAACTTTATGGAGTGTCTTTGATATTTATAAACACTATATGTTTATACTGTAAGTAGACAAAACTTATTTTCAACTGTTAAAAAGTGACAGGTCTGGACAAGTTTATAAACGTCACTGGTGTTCATACAGTTTCTAAGTGACTGTGATCATGCTACTTTTGCCAGTGTAGTATTTGTTTCCAGCATTATGCTGACATGTTTATCAAAGAGTGTAAATGTTCTTTTTCATGCTACAGTTGTAGGGATAGTGATATACAGTGCATGTCACAGGATAAGATAACAAGCTGGAGCACATTTTCATTTTTCCAATTTAAAAATTCTTTCCTTAAAAACAAAAATCCTAAACAAAGCATTTCCTTAAGATACAAATATGAATGTAAAGATATCAGTTGTTTTGACTAAAAAAAATCCCTCATTCCAGTGTTATGAAATAAGTCCAGTCTAAACATTTTAAAAATATATGTCCTTTTAAAAAATGGGCTTTTCAGGATATGGGAGCACAATCATAGGCACCTGATTTTTAAAATCTTGACCTAAAAACCAAAGCAATTCGAAGATAAGTCTAATTAATGTTGACATGGAAGTCTGAAAATTCTGAGCTAAGGTCCATAGATAAATAATCTCTTTTCTTCCCTACCTTGTCTTTCCAACACCCTACTCCTATGAGCGTCTTCCATCTCCACAGCACATCTTTTTACGCACTCTCTAGGTGACGAACATACCTTTCCCATAATGTATCTATTTACTAATAAAACTGCAAACTGTGCATTAAGCAAGGCCCTTCCTCAGATTCATCATCTTACATAGAGCTAAGTTCATCAATATCCAGGTGTCCAGCCTGTTAGCCATAAGATTAACCCTGAAGATTTCTCTCCCTACTTTCACTCTCCCATAACAAGGCAACAAGTTTTACATGTCTTTGTCTATATAAGTTCATAAGACACCAAATTTCTACCTCTTAACATTTCATTCTTCTCTCTGTGGAGAATATGAGCAGGCCTACATAGTGCTACTCTTTTTCTCCTTTAACTCAATATGGGACTTAAACACTTAGAAATACACTATGGTGATTCCTTTGGTGTATTAGTTTTAGCTACAGATCATGGGGGAGAGGAGGTTCTGTTCCTCACTCTTCAATATTCATAAACTCACATCTTCCGTATTCAGAATATAGGGTAGTTTACAAAAAAATTGAAAACTATATAAAGGCTGAAACTGTACTTGTACTTCAATTCATGGCACCTCTCCTCACTTCAAGGAGATCAGGATTTCACCCAGATATTGACCTTGGTGATGCTATACATCAAGTGGGTAGTATACATGATGCAAGCATAGAGGAACTGTTATCACATCATTCTGAATTTCAAACGTACTTGTATTTTATAAATTTAAAATAATTGGGAATTAGATCTGGCTGAAAAACAATACTTTTCTGATTCACGGAAATAACTGAGGTTTTGAAATCTGTTTTAATTCCATGTCAGAATGACAATGAGGATTTTAGAAGTTTATGGAGGCACACAATACTCCAGATGAGGCCTAAATAGTTACGAATAGAGAGGCACTATTACCTCTTGTGTCTTGCACCTAATACTTCTATTGATGAATCCCAAAACTGCCTTTGCCTTTTGTGCCACTGCATTATGCTGAAGACTCATATTGAGTCTATGATTTACAAAGATTCTCAGCTTCTTTGCAGTAGACATTAGGACAAATAAGGTTGAGCCCAGAACAACAAATGGGACAAGTAGGATACTCATCTGGGATGTGAGACACCTGAGTTCAGACCCCTTTCTAAAGGAACTGCATTCTGAGTGACTTCCAAGTTTAATGTTATCTGCCAGCTTGATCAAGAAATTCTCAATTCTAGCATCCAAATTATTAATAAACACGTAAAATGGCATTGTACCCAGGACAGGCCCCTGTGGGACTCCATTCAGACCTCCTGCCATTCTGATTTTGATCCATTTATAATTACCCTTGTT